TCAGTAGATTCATAAAATTAATAGATCGGACTTATAGGTTCTTTGTTCGAATCCCACAGGTCGGGATCGTTGATACGCACCACTGAGGAGTCCAACAGTAGTATGAAATGGCCGTTTAGTGTTTCTTGGTATTCCATAGTGATCTAGCTTCATTTGACTCATGATCTATGCTATTGAAATTACTATAATCTCCACAAACCTTCTTCTGATATAAATTTAAAGGCATTTAACATTATCATAGTTAAATTACTTTGCTCATTATTGATTTTATCTTTATTAAATTTATTTTTATGCTTTATATTCGACAATATTATGAGTTTAGTTATTTGTAGTAGTTGCTACCCTGATTCAAGCTTAGGGTAACTAAACGGATAAAATATTGTTCAATCATTTTTTTTCATAGATTATTATAGATTTGTATTAAATGACTATCAATTGTATAACACAAAACATAACTCTATCCATTCCATTTGTTTTATTACCTTAGTTTCTTTTCAGCTATATTTACAAGTTCATCAGTTCAATTCATTCCAATCATTAATATAATGTTAATAATCATTTGTAAAATCCATAACAATGCGTTGGTACGGCCAAGATTGGCGAGAATCAGCTTTCGCTCTATCTCTCTTGAAGTGCTTTCACATGGTCACGCTCATACAGCCACTGACAGGAAAGTCCTACTCATTGCCCTCTCGTGGCGAAGGTATTGTTTGAGAAATTGAGAGAACGAAAAGCGAACGTCCGATGCTTCAATCGTGTTTGTGGATGTGGAGCAGCCACCCAGGGGGTTGAAAAACTTGATTCCAAATCAATGCTGCACATGGGCTTCAGGATCCTGAAGGAATAAATGACGTATTAACCAATCGTTGATCACTGTCTATCATGAGACTGCATCTCCTGACATTGCTCCATCGCCATGTTGATCAGACCTTTAGGTCTAAGGGTTGATGTGTGGCCAATTATAAAAACCAACTGTTTCAGTCTGACCACCTGGACAGTATCATAAGCCATACACACAAATCAAGTAACTTGTATGGTACATATGTATTTGATGTCCCTTTGTACCAATATTTATGTGTTCAAATAAATGAATAAATGTGTGTAGTGTGTAAGAATTAAGGAATTAAAGTTTTAAGAAAGAAGTTCTGTTTATAACTGCTTCATATATCTTTGCTTCTTAACAATATTCTTTTAATGGGAAACAAATGACATGACTGACCAAAATTCACAACTTATATCCATGACACACATACAACGCAAACAGTTAATGAGACTATGCACTAATAACTCTTAGTATTAATTTAATAATGAACGATATTGTCATAGAAATGGTGTAGCGGTGATTATTCTTTCAGAATTTGTTCTTACCAACATAGCTGTTGGAAAATCGGAGAGAACGAAATTATCACCTGTCATCTCTGATACATTTTGATTATGGAATGATGTAAATCATGTAAATAAAATACTTGGATCTTTCCATATAGTCCACCATAATATTAAATTGACAGTGAAACCAAAGTAGACAGTGCCAAAACATTCACAGTTTTTACATTACTGACTATAAATATGGTTTAGTGAAAAAAACTCTACCATTTGTGGTGTATGCTGCTGATGTCAGCAGATATAAGTAGTATGTATCATTAATCGAAAGTGAAATGTCTGGTGGCAAAAGGTTAAGAAGGTCAAAGAAGAGTCAACATGAACAGTGAATGAATGTTATAGAAACGACACTGTCCGGGTGCCCAAACTGAAGCAGGTGGTTTTCTTAGGAGGTCGCATCCATAGCCATCGACCTAAATGTCTGATCAACAAGGCAGTGAAGCAACGTTAATAGATGTAGTCCCATGGTAGACAGTGACCAACGATTGGTTCATATGCCATTCGTTTACTCAAAATCCTGGAGCCTATGTGCACCATTGATTTGGGATCAAGTTTCCCAACTCCCCAAGGTGGCTCCTCCATATCCACCAACTCGGTTAAAGCATCGGACATTCACTCTTCGTCCTCTCAATTTCTCAAACAACACCTTCGCCACGAGAGGGCAGTGAGTAAGACTTCCCTATCAGTGGCTGTATGAGCGTGACCATGTGAGAGCATTTCGAGAGAGAGGACTGACTCTCCTCACTCTCGGCCGTACTATAGAATTTGTTGGCTCCCGATTGTAAAGTTGATTGTGTTATACATGCTACAATAATTACAGAAACTTTAACATCTACTTATTTTAATGAATATATTCCATGAAACTTAAATCTTTCAGACGAAATCTTTTTGTTTAGTTCAGTAACTGTTCGATTTCAGTTCAATTTCATGTTAAGTAAAAAAACTTAATAATCTCCACAACCCCATACTGATAATTACCATATGCTCACTAGTGATTAGCTTCGTAAGGGAATTCTCGGAGTTCTAGTGAGAAACCGTCACCAGTGAATTTAATCTGTGTCAGGTGGAGACAGACATCTTCTACCTCAGTACAATGGAAGATGATTGTACAATTTCGTGGATTAGTTGAATTTAGACATTAACACCGTTAGTTGTAAATGTAATGTAGTGAATCGAACTTATAAGCCTTCTTTTTTTTTCCTGAAATTCCAGAATATTTGTTCTATTACTTAATGTAAGCAACCGGCAAATTAAGGTGGTCTATCTTTCTTAATGGTTTTCAATACCAGGCAATTGTAAAAAAAACTCACATTCACTTTGATTGTAGTGAGTGTTTTTATGCGTAATGTTTCACTGGAAGCATCGTTTTTAAGAAAAGTAACTTCTTTTGAACCATGGTTATCATCAATCTGATTTTTGTCTGTTTTACATGTTGATTAATAAGCTTAGTAGAATGATGGTTCTCATTTAAGAAGGATATGGGTATGATTTAATCCATACTTGGTAGTATCATCAATGTAAAACATCTTAGTACAATGAGTGGGGATTTTTTAAAAAAACAAATCAAATTCCTTTTATATCTGACTGGTATCGAACTGTGAAAATGGGTAATATTGATCAAACACTCATTTCCTATATATTTATGATCTGTGTAGGGACAGTAGAACTTTAGCTGACTAGTTATGTCTTTGAAAGATCCACTCTCCTGTTTTGTAATAAAAAGATCTGACGAAATAGGAATTCAATGGTGATCTCATAGCTACATGATCTGGTTGTCTACGATATTCATTGTTTAATCGAATGTGAATATTCATTATGCATCTAAATATCAGATCTTAGTAACTACATGAGTTGTATGTGCGTCATGAATATAAGTTGTCAATGTTAGTCAATCATTTCAATTGTTCCCCATAAAAAGAATATCTTTAAGAAGCAAAGATATATCAAGCAGTTATAAACAGAACTTCTTTCTTAAAACTTTAATTCTTTACTTCTTACAAATTACACACAACTTATTTGTTATTATCAGTATGGAGTTGTAGAGATTGAGATTATGAACCGATTGATGTTAGACCACCATTCAACACCTGGATACACTGGACGGCCATTTTATCCTATTATGGGGCTCCTCAGAAGTGTGAATCCACGACCCACTCGCGGCATTCGAACCCAGGGGTTCCTAGACCACTGAACCGGCCGGCATTCATCGGTGTTAATTTGTAACCTCAACCAATTGACAAATGATTGTTTATATTATACTAATGATTGGAATTAATTGAACTGATGAGTTTGTGTGTACCTGAAGAGAAAGTAAGGTAATCAATTTATATCATATTCTGTAAATATTGACAGTCTTCTTGATTTGAATTTGTGAAGTGTATCAATTGTTTGTACAACTTGTACAAACAAAAACGTACTGTAACCATTTTGTACTACTTAATAATATTAAGTAGCACAGTTATACGAAGATCAAAATAAAGATTTATGTGTTCAGTTTGTTTCAAATCAATAACAATCGTATTTTAGAGCATTTTGTTTTATTTCGACATAACGTCCATCATCACGAGGTAACTAAAAAAGTATATATATCCTGTAATATAAACTGAAGTTTTGAGATTCAGACTGATGAATTACTCCAATTTGTAGTCACAGAGAGCTGTAGATTATGAACTATCTATAGTCAATCAGCTACAACGTAGGATCAGGCACTTACATGCATCGGTCCAAGTTGCCACATCTCATAAGCACAGCAAGATGAACGCCGGATTCATAGAAGTAGTTAATTCAGAGGTGGTAATATATAAAAGAATGATTGTGTATGAGGACATAGTACAGGAAGAAAGAATTAGTTCGTAGAAAGAAAGATATGAAGCGATTTTACTCTTTTAGTTTAAGGGAAAACATAGAGTGTATACACCTACACTATTGTGATCGATTCTGAGCCATGTCATCCAGGGTCTCCAACCATTGGTTACGATAGTCATGCGGACTGCAACCAAGTAGTCTTCATCTACCAACATGGCTGAGACCAGAAGTTAGTAACCCTAAAAATACACACCTTGCCTTATCCCACGGATATCCGTTTCCGGTGGTAAGGTCTCAACAAGTACGGAGCTAACAAAAAAATTACCCACAAAAAGGTTGTATGTGACCGACCTCAGGCAGTTGTCCCTTGGGCACTGCAATCATGCTTTCATGTTTACAAGACCACCTTTAATCCAATTTCTTTTCATGTACCCTTCCACGGTGTGGGAAACCGGGAAGTGATAACTGCCCTCATACTTCCAACAGCACTCATTACCACTCGATGAACTATCGGTAGACTCATTATACAAACTAAATGTTGAAATAATAATAGTGTTACAGTATATACCAAGTTTAAAGATCTTTTACATTTCTTATTTTTCCATTTATTATCCTGTAAGTGACAAAATAATGAATAATTGTGTCTATATCTGTCTGAACTATGAGATTGTTAAACACACATTTTTGAGTGTTTTTTTTTCTAAAGATGTTTTTGAGACTATTTGAACCATAGAATAGTTTATGATTGAGGTTTTTTTCTTCTCCGAACTGGATGGTTTGGTGTTGAAGCTTTCGTCATTCTTCTAAATGACATC